CCCCCCCTCCTCCATTTCCCTCATCCAATTCTTACAGCCTCCTGAAGAGTGCCAATTTTGACTTGCAAAGGAAACAATAACACTTGAACCAGCTCAAAGTCAAAACCTGTGTCGCCTTTACACTTGTCAAAGTTGAACGAGGGCTGAAAGATGACTCCCTAAGTGTTTCCAATATTTTTTCTAGATCATCACTAATCTCTGTAAACCAATAACCCAGACCTCAAAACTGCTACCAACCTCACTGCAGTATTTCAAGAGTGGAGTTATGTGGTGATCTATTTCAGCTAGGAAGATAAGCCACGTAAATGGAAATTTCCCGTTTTCCCTATAAGCGATATTCGAAATTATCTGAAGCTCTCTGTGAGCACAGTTCACACCCATCTCTTCGGCACATTTGCTCAATTTTACTCAATTCTCTCCCGCACTCCCATACCTCAATTGTTGTTACCATACCCCGAAAAAAAAGTATTTGGTGACCTCACAGCCAATCACCCCTCAAATTAACAATAGTTCCTACAACAACCGACTAAGAATCGAAAAAAAAACATTTTTAAGTGAGTAACTGTCGCCTATGCTTATCTTTGACTGCCTTCCTATTTCGCCACGCGATTCACTTCATAGTAGAAGCGTCCTTTGAGTTAATAGCAAACCACGAAACACAAGACACCTAAAGGTAGAGTTTAGTTCTGAGGTTATTACAAACAGTACCACAACAACAACATTTCCGAAGTTTACAGTCTACTAAATAGATTCATCAAAGGCTTTTACAATAAAGGCATTCATATGTGTGGCTAAATTCCTAGCACTAACTGTGCGTTAAAAGGGGTAAAGTTCGAGAGGTGCGGCATTGTTAAAACTTAACAAAATAACATAGGGAAAGAGAAAAAACACAAGATTCCTGCGCCAAGCGCTTGAATTTATTCACTTTCCGACAATACATCACTTAAATTACTATTAAGCAGTAAGCTTTGGTGATTCAAATAAATGGAGCCACAATAATGAGATAAAGAAGAGACGACCATTGGAAGGCAAATGAGTTTAAAGGTGCTTAGGCGGAGTTTCTCCAAGGACTCTGTTGATGGGGTGTGCGATAGACTTACCTCCATGTGGTTCATCCTAGGCAACGCATGCTCATAAGCCGAAATGTATAAACCGACAGTTGACTTCTCACTTCAAACTACCATGGCTCAACTGTATACCATATTCCACCACTTCACGGTACTCATCTTACCCTTTCTGAGCCATTAAGTCTGTCTGTCTCCTTTACATCTGCGAATCACTTTTCTGCTCCTCCCCCCCTCTCGAATTTTTCTCGGTTTGATGTTCCTCCTCCTCTCTGCGAAGCCCGAAGTCAACTAAAGGCTAATGATAACTATCAAAACGCCCGTCATTTGAAATAAATCAATAAATAAGTGACTGTTAATTAACCGCAAAAGGTTTCCATGTCAATGACGATGCACAATTCCTTTTACGCTTGTCAGCTGCATGCAGCCCATAGGCGCTCAACATAATTTATAAAATGCTCTAAAAAGACACACTCATACCAAAAAGTGAAATATCTTTTAGAGTTGAGTACTTCAAGAACACGATTTGCATTAGAAAATTTAACAGACGACAATAAAGCAAACTGTGGGCTCTAGCAAGAAACAACGAAGGTAATCAGAAAGTGCGTAAAAGGCGTTAAAATAAGTAACCAGAACTCGATGTTTGTAGACTTTTAGTAACTCAGATTAACCACAACCATTGTCTCCAAGCTTATGACGTCAGTTATGGTGAATTTGGAATAGTATCGACATAATTAAACTATATGAGGGGGAGGGGAAGGGGGTAAATATTTGTTCCCCTTAGCATACCAATACAAAGATGGCAAAAAAAGTCTGCCATATTTGAATTATGTGAAAAAAAGTTTAAATAGAGGGGGAAATCGAGCATGTTTGAATCCAAATGAAACGACGAGGTCAAGAAACCGTCCATATTATGTAAGAAGCCGGGTTCACTGCTTGGCGTTTCAGTGGTTAAGGCTAAGGCAGTTAGGGCCTTAAAAAACAGCAACAAGATGCAACAAACACCACTTTTACACATTTACTCATTTTAAAAATCACTATTGAGCAAATTACTAAGAGCGCGAATTAATTGCAGTAAATTGCAAAATTGATTGCAAAGAAGGAGGAAAGATATTTATAGGAAGAGAAAGCGACAGATGGCTAACTGTAGCCATGCCACCACAAACTGCAAGGCCAATCGTGAATACATACTAAGGCCACCAATAGGAAAGTGAGCAGCTTCAGGCAAGTGTTTGAGATCAGTTTGTGTCCAGACACGGTGAAGGAAACAACTCCGCAAATCCTCGCATTAGTAGACAAGCTATTCAGCGCCATTGATGAGCAATAAATTAAACTCTATTCATAAGGGCAAAAATGCCCAAACCCAAGGCAGACATAATACACACTTCGGGAAGATATGGCAGAGGCTACTTTTCTTTCAACAGCGCTTGAACGCTTGCAAAGCAAACAAAAGACAACACTTTACTTTAAGGAGGGGAGAGGGGGTGTTTACAGTCCTCGTGTTTACCAATTTGAATTTAAAAGATTCAAATCGGGAAAAATAGGGATTGAAACAATGCGCCAAGATCAGGAGGACCAACCAATTTTGGTGATGAATCAGACGAGATAAACTAGGGAAGAATTGTCGCAGAACCTCGAGTATCCAACAGCACAACTACACTTGAAGTAAAGTGGCAAATTTAGTAGGGTGGGAGTTTAGGTAAAGCCCCATATTAACTCTCTCGATTTAAAAATGATATATGGAGAAATATGGTCATGTCTTTGCTATCTTAACAACGAATAATTCTTCCTACTTTACGCCAAAATGACAAAGAGGACGAGAAATGGATCGTTTACAGCACAACGTTAGGTGGGGAAAAAGAGACCATGGTTTTCACCCATCTCTTTCCCTAAGCAATTGAAGACTTATTCCGCGCAAATTGTTGAATGCACATGGGATAGTCCATTACGGATAGCTAAAACTGGACGAAACAAATGCTGCAGCTTGAGTTTATTTTGCCAGAAAAAAAAATTTGGAAGACAAAACAGGGACTTAAAGGGTTAAGGTCCAAACCGATTTAATAAAAAAAATGGATAATTTTCCAACATGTGAAGAAGCAAGAATGGCCTCCCAAAAGTCTGGAATTAAATTTTCAGGTTATGGCTTGGAGCACAGGTTAGGGGAAAAACGAATGAAATTTAAAACCACTCGAATACGCATGCGAATTATCATTACAAGAGCACTAGGAAGGAATTGAAAATGATCGCGGAAATTAAATGATTTAAGGTTACCAAGGAAAGATCACTTCAATTCCATAGATCCCAAAGGCAAGAGAGTGGAACTATTTCGCGTAAGAAAAGTGCGAATTAGCTATGAACTTAAAAAGTGATACTCTTCAACCTTAGTGTACAAGAAGCTTTCAAAGTTCAAATATTTTAGGCCACCTTTCTTCGTTTATCCCCCCCCCCTCCCCCCTTACGAATCTTAATCTAACACTTTCGATCGGTAATTCAACTCCAGAAGGAAATCTCTTTGCGAATAAAAAGAGACCGATTTGGTTAGCATATAATGGGAAAAAAACAACATTGAAACAGAGTTTTGGGGTTTTATTTTTGAAGGCCTTTTTCCACAGTTGAGGTCATTTCCCTCTCTAAGGCAATGGATATCGCCTTCTGTCTGGATGAAAACTGCAAAATGAAAATCTGCAACAAATTTCGATGCTCTCAGGGTAGTAAAATGCGGCAATTACAATAAACAAGGCATTTTTCCGGGGAAAAAATGACATGGTTGCCAGAAAGAAAGAGGTGACAAAAAATTAATCTAACACTCACCGTGAATGTACACAACAAATAAAACCAAGCGGAATATTTAATTATTACTAATTAAAAGTGCCATTTCATAGTCTAAAATTTCCTATGGGTAGCAGTTTTTATCGAGGTCTCTAGGCATTTATTGCATTTACCACCTTATAGCAAGTCAAGAAGCAAATTTTTCCATCTTGTATAAATACTTGGATTCAGGTTGTTCACATTTTATTACTTGTCCTTTTCTGAGTGAATTTGTGTTATTAGGTTTAGATGTCTGGGTGAAATTGTTCTTCGCAAATCAGGAAAGAATTGCACACAAAAAATCCACAAAGGAAGAAGGTAAACATTTGGGATGGTAACTAGGCAAAAATTCCAACCGGCAATCCAAACTCGTAGCACCATATGGAATGGCAACTTGATGACAAAAGCAAGGCAGATTGCAAGATGGGATACCATTACGCGATAACTATAAGCACATGCCTTTATCTCGTACCCCATTTCACTATCATCATCAACAAGAGCTAAAATGTGTGTAATCCACTTATTTCCTATTGGTCCGTTGTGGCGCACACCACCGCACATGCGCGTTAGACCAGCCTAGTTGATAACTGTCCAACGCAGCTGCAGCAGCAGTACCAAATTACTACAAAATCCCACTAACAAACTAACACTCTGCGCGGTTGTGTGGATTATAAAAGCAAACAATAAGGATGTACAGCCATTAAGATGCCTTCCATTTCCTCCCTTATTCTTCTATTCCTACTTAAATCCACCCTGGCAGTTGATTGTAACCTGACCTTTTGGCCACATTTGACAAGGAGTGTTCAACTTCCTCAATCATACTCAAAAGCACTCCCTAATGTATCCAATGCCGCTCAACAACCAACACTATTAGCTGGCCAAGTCATGAGGTTTAATATCAACTGCTCCTGTTGTAAAGATAGGTCCTGGATTAAGAAGGAATTCCCCGAGAAAGGGATGCTTTTCTATCGGATTTTCGCAGAAAATCGCTACTCTACTATCCTCTCTCGACAACCGAATGTTGACCCTGTTATAAGAAGTCGATTTGAATCTGCAGGGGACATGTCAACCAAGTATCGGGAGTGTAAGGACTTTCCCCTCTGTGCAATCTTGTACACTCCAATAGTCGATGGTAAACAGGCAGTTAATTATCCCTTCTGGGTTGAAGCAAATTTGATTGGACGGTCTGGTATCAAAGTCGAGTTGGTGTGGGTGAACGCCACGTTACCAGAACGACCAGATGACATTCCGTTGCCTTCAGCATTGAGTGAAAAGGATATCAAAAAGAGGAAGAAAAACAGCTCAAGGAATACAAAGTTCACTTTTGAACTTATTGCTGAGGCTTACGTCCGGGGTGGAAATGATTCAGTCTCCCATGTGACTGTTTTTCTCAAACCTCAGATATTTTACACCATCTTTGATTGGTCTGTTTTCTTCGTTGCCGGAACTATTGCGCTTTCAGCAGGATGCAATATTGATCCGTCAGCTTTTGTGCGACAAATTAAAAGAAAACCTCTCGCTGTGGCAGTTGGACTATTCATGCAACTTTTCATCAGTCCTTTGGTAAGGAATTGCTAAGAATTGATAGACTTTATATTGAGAATGGAACAACAATGCGGTGTTTAAGATGTAAGTTAAGATCTGTAAACTATGGCGCATGATGTAATTGATAATTGCGATTTAAATTGACTTGCATTCTGTAAGCCAACTGCAAGCGAAGATTAACAGTGGAAAGACTAGATGATCGAATATATCTTTTTACATCTCAACCTTAAAATGACTATCTACCAGAAGACGAGAAAGCAAAATTACTTAAATGCTTTCTTGACGAGGAGAAATTAGTGATTGAATCAACGTTACCGATTTCGTCCTCAAATTACTCAACTGGAAAAGAAGTACACTAATCTCTTCTAATGAAAAGTTATGGGGTGGTAACAAGTACAATTCAATAATTTACGAAACCCAACAAGTTGTGATTGGATTCCATCATGATTTGTCGGTGTTAGTTAAATACTAGAACCATTTTATATATTTTTCCATTGAGAGTAATAATTAAGTGATTAATGTAAAAGCAATGAAATAGCACCACCAATGAATTGGAACATATGCGGCAAATGTAGGATAACTTAATCTCCAATTGATTTATGGCGTCAACTAGTGGCAATTATCAATTGCATTATTCAACGCTAATTTTTCCTTCGATTTCCAGTAAAAAAAAAGAAAAACCATGGAAAGAGGTAACAAAATTGGTTTTCGCATTAACACGAGGAAAAATAATAAATAGGAAGTAACCTTTTAGATGGTCTTTCCTTGATTCAACATTAACCATTTTCGCTCACAGATAAATAGTCACGTCCATGTAAGGGGAAGAATTTTGCCCTAAAGTAGTGAAGTAGTAGTACTTAGACCACCATTTCAAGTTCGGTCAAGATTAATAACACCCATCCCACCACTTCCCCTGCCCGCCCATTCCCCTCCCCCCCCCCCCCCCCCCCCCCATCCCCCTCTGTCATCTCCTTAATAAGCCATCAAAAGACAGAAAATTTAATTAAAATACAGAATTTATGTGACTATGCATTCAGGTAGTGAAATCTTTGACAGAAGTGCTGACAAGATCAACGTCATGGGGTTTGTGTTTTACTGATCATATTTGATAAAATAAATTTTAATTTCTTCAAATGTGAAAGAAAAAAGTGGGTTTACGGGAAATCAATTCAAGGGAGGTAGTAAACGAACAAAATTATCTGGAGTTGGACGAATTTGAGAGGAGGAGGAGAAGGAGGAAGAAGAGGAGAGAGGAGGGGTGGGAAATGCCACTTCAAATAAAAGCTAGCTGAGTCATCCGCAATATTGACGAACTAATTAACAATTTCCATTTTCACGATGCAAGGCCAAATGAAACAGCAAATCACAAATGAGAATAGAGAGCATTAGACAATTAACTGCAGCACAAAAAACGCCCTGAAAGATGAGGGCAGTCGCATTCCACATCTGTGAATAGGGGCTAAATCGCGGTCTCCCTGTCCCTCACACTTTTCCTTATACAAAAAGGCCACTGTGGAGGGATATTTTTAGTGCGATGAGGGAATTCCACATGCCAAACCTTGCCTTCACTGCAAATACTGCCTGGGATTTAAGAAAATGCAGATGAAAAGTGGCCTTGATCGCAACATTCCGAACATTTCCTTAATTCATATGGCGTTCTGTGCTTTAATGTGAGTTAAATCCTACGCCAATATATCGGAAAAACCAATAAGATTCTAGAATTTTGCATTAGGGAAAGCGAAATACCATATTTATTACGTGTTTCAGATGAAATAGACTCTATTGTCATAGGTGTATGCTGAAAGGTGTTCTTTTGATTAAAGATCAGTTACGTTAACGAGTTTTGTTAAAGTCTCATTCTGATGCTGTTTTCAACCGCGGTAATCATTGTGAATCAGTAAAAGCGAGAATCTCGAAGTTGCGACCTATAAAATGGCTCAAATTTAAACACCGATTTTATCAGACTAACCATTCGAGGCTTGTATCAAAAACTACGAACCAGAGAGGGGGGGGTGTATAGGTTTCAATACTGCACACACTGGAAGGAGAATTGAAGTAATAAAATGCAAATCTCAAAGTCAAACAGTTCTTTTAAACACTAACCTATGATCGCATCCATTTTGTCCTTAAGACCCTACAAGGGTTGGGAGATATTTGAGATCTCTTAAGACCGTGGACGTCTAGCAGATCCTGAAACCAGCTACGAGGGCTCTGTATACTTTGTTTCCAGGAGAAACTCGTGTCCCCTTTCTATTCTATTAATAGGAATGACTAGCTGACTCCTGACAGTATTCACTTCACTCTCCATTTACTTTGATCAAAACACTTTCGTGATTTTCAACGTTAGTGCACAAATTAAATGTACCTTCTTCTTCTTCTCTTCGAGATATTAAAAATAACACCGACAGAGAAGCGTAAAAGTGAATCATGCATAAATCCTTTTCACAAAACACATTTTCCCAGATGACAAGAGAGTTTCTCGCGGTGTTTAATTTGAGTTGTTTACTTTTAAGAAAAGGGTTTAATACAATAGAAACGAATCTTTATTTTTCAAGCTCATTATTGGCTTAATTACTGCTTTTTGTTAAGCAACTCTTGTTAGTCGCAAATAGGAAACAATTCCAATAATAGCAGTGTCCTTCAGGCTCTACTCTATAAACAACAATTTCAATTATTTCCTAATGAGTCTGAGTGAAATCCACTGGAGAAACAACAAATAAATCAATCGTGGCTTGGAATTGAAGGGTTCTCACTTGGGATTATAACACCGAGATAACTTGAAACAGACCTAGACTCCAAAAATTCAATAAACACATTCCCCATGTTTTAGAAGCATTTTTAACGGAGAAATTAGGAGGGAGGCGGGGGGGGGGGGGGGGGGGGGGGGGGGGTGAGAAGAAATCGATTTTCAAATTCATAATGGAGAAAGTAATAGAGGAAATGCAAAACTTAAATTATTGTTTAGGTTGAAAACAATTGTTCATCTGAAAAGGAGAAGAAGGAAGCAAAGGAGATTTTTCCGCTAGTTTCATGATTTTGCTTTTCATTCGCCTCTCTCAAAACCTTTCTTCAGAACAAGTTTGCGAAAGTATTAAATAAATGACTTCCTAACCTAGACGATATTGTTACAAATTCCCATTATCGACTACAATTGAACTCTTCTTGTATCCATGAAATAAGTAAAATTACTCTGAAATTGATTTAGATTTTTGAAGAAGAACTCAAACGGAAAGGTTTCCCTTCTATTCCGGTGATTCAATAATGCGGAGAGAGAAGAAGTTGTTAAACTTCTGTAAAGTAAACATATGCTATTCATTTAAAGAATTTTGCAGAGCAATCAGTAGAAGAGACTTCATGCCAATCACTGAATCAGAAATTGATAATGACACACACACGGATGCAGCATAGCCAACGATTCGCATATAATTTAAATAAATTGTTAAATCATAATCCACTCGACAATTCTGTTTGAATTGAAACTCAAATTAAGGCTACCTTTGCATGGATAGGTGACAAAATGAAAACTGATGCTTTACTATACATTTTGATGTAGTGCTCTCAATCTATTATTAATTTTTTTAAGGAAACAGAGCCCCATAATTAAAAAATATCAAAGTGCTTTCTAGAAACACACAGCAAATCGTCAATTTTTTTCACTCTTGGCATAAGTGGTCATTCTTCACCTATCATCCGAAAGAAGACAAAAAATAGGACCACTCAGATAAAGACACTGGCAGCAAAGGGTTTTAAAAGTGGGAAAGGAGGAAAATGGCTTTTTTAATTTCTGGACAGGTCATTAATGCGAAACCTAATTAGTCCAAAAGAAACTCTACGTCAGTCAAGAGGGGATACATCAGTAGCCAAGGTAAAACAATCCTGTGGTATTTTTTTTAAACAAAAATCTTCTAGTGGTCTGTCATGATGGTGAAGTGTGAGGGATGATATACTCCACCTGTCTCATTTCAATTCCAATACTTCACATTAAAATTTCACAGGTTGAGGCAAAAGGTGGAAATCATTGATTTCTAAGACAGAACATAACCCTAAAGCAAATTTTTTTCGCCCTTATCATTTAGATTGGTTTGCTCGCGGGATACGCGAGTTCTTTATCGAAGGAGAAGATTTACGGGCTGTTTGTGACCACAACTCTGCAAGTTGGCACTTGCGCATTGATTATCATCTCCCTATCAGATTGTCACGAGCAATTTGCTCTTGCCATTGCTCATCTGTCCAATATCTTGAATCTCGGTAAGTGATTCCTTTCCACACTCATATTCTAAGTTACCTTGCTTAACACAAAAGCGGCAATTACTAATAGTGTTAAAGTTATCTAGTAAATAAACATCAGTGTTAGATTTAATACAGGAGGTAAGGGTTAAATTAGGAAAAATGACGTCAGGGGGGGAATAGATCCAGCTGTAATCTGTCCTCCTATCTCTAACTAACGACAGAAGCCTGTTTCCAAGGGGGATTAAGTTACATCGGCCTAAAACTTAGATTCATCCTAATTCCAAGCTTACAAGCTAGTTGAATAAGAGAGAGGGCGAAAACAGCACAAAAACATTAATTTCTCAAAGGAGAAATACTTAGCATAATCGTTTTCAAACATTAATCACCACAACTGCCATTTGTTCAGCTCCAGAGCAAGTAAAATAAAAAGAAACCAGCTTAATAAGAGAGGTATTCAGTGAGGGAGCCGATTTACCTAAGTCCATTCAGGCGTCGATAGATATTTATCACGTGACCTCAAGCTTAGTGGACATACATGTTGACTACAGCACCATTGACAAACCCCAAAGTCAATCCATCAACAGTTTCGTAAGTGAATAGAAGTTAAAGTAATTGGCTAGGCCAACTGAGAGCTTTTAAATATAAGCACGTTTCTTCCCCATAAATAAAAGTAAAGACATTTGTTTGTCTTTTTTCATAAATTCAATGTTTACATGTGAGTTGAAAAATTCAAAGGTTAAAAAACAAAACCCAACATGTTCTCAAAGGCGTACACTGCAAAGAATCGCAATAATGCAGAAAACAACAAATAAAGAATTTATTTTGGACAAAATCTTTGAAAATGTCCCATTTCCCTGCTAAATGAGTTGTGTCCTCAAAGTCAAAAAAGGGGACAGGATGAGACAAGTATGACTGCTCAAGAAGGCAAAAATATTATTTTTGCCAACTTTGATGAAATAATACCTAACAAAAAATCAATAAATACCACAATCTGTAAATTATTGCAGGTTGGAGAAATAACTTCAAAATTGACACATATTTCTAAATAATAAAGTAAGTATTAATTTAAAGGAATGTGAGCTTCTTCGAAAAAGCCATTGAGGAAGCATAGAAATGCGCTGGCAAATTGACTTTTGAGATGAAGAGAGAAAATGTGAAAATCACGTAAACCACGGACCAAGTCAACCCACTCACTGCCCACATCGTATCTTATTAGCCATTTAATCGCTTGACCAATGAGAAGCGATAAAAACAGATGGCAGTTTTATTAGAAACGAGTAAACTGTTATTAAAAGCTGATGGTTATAAAGTTTGTCGTTTCACCAACGAAATTAATGCATAATACAGTTAACACTATCAGGAATACCATTAAGCTAGATTGTGGCTGTAATTAGGTCTGCACAATTTTCAGCCAGAACATTCCCAACTACTTGCAAATTTTCGGTAGCAATTTTTTGTTATTTCAGCCACAGCACCATTGTGGATCTACACAGTGGGAACGTATGTACTCAAACAAGAAATATACCTGTTGAGATTTTGCGGTTTGATTACCCTAATCTCCTTAGTTCAAATGCTCGGTTTTCTCCTTCGATATGCGCGACCATCAATAGCACACGGAGTACTAACATGGTTTTCTCGACCATTTCTCCTTCTTGCCGGTATACTCTTCGTCACTCTAGGTGTATATATCAATCAATACGTCTTCCAAGCTCCACAACAAATAGCCTACCTACAACACGTTGGCGTTGCTCTACTTATAATGCTCACAATGAGCTACGCCTGTGCGTGGCTAGCTGGTCTACTACTAAACATCTCCGTTCGCCGAACTCGAGCTCTGGCCAATCAAGTATCAGTATATCAAGGTCTTCTTGCCATCCCCTTACTGAGGATTTGTGTTCCATCGCCTGAAGGTGAGCAAGTTTCAGCGGCTGCATTGTGGACAGTTTTTCTTACTCCTGTACCACTAATCTACAATGAAGTTCTTAAGGTAGATTGACCAAATTCAAAATATGCCATGTGCCTTAATGATTTAAGTAATGCGGTTATTGTGCTTCTTTCAGTTTTTGATCCGAACGGGAAAATCTATGTACAAAGCTCACAAAATGCGGATGCGAAAACGTGGCCCAACTGCAATGCTTTGTGCAGACTCGCTTGCAGCAGTGGCCTTTACTTCAATGCTTCTTCCGGATAATGTGGAGATTAAGCACAAGAGTACAAACACTTCCGATGCGCTACCCTTTGACGAGGCATCTAACAGTACAGTCAATTCGGCCCCTGTAGCTTCTCGGAAATACAAGAGAACTTTCGTGAGACCTAACAGCTCTGCACTTTTATTCTCATTTAAAGAAAGTTCCTGTGATGCTGAGAATAGGGAGAAAATCATAGAAGCCCTGGCAAGGAAGGGTGGAGCATCGCTCAGCGAGAAACGAGGACGCAAGAACGGTCGCATGGGACCGCATCCTCGATCCATGGACGATGGATTTGGCGGAGGAGTCACGCCCTCCTGGGGACCTGAAACTGTACCCTACCCTCCACCCTCTAGTAAACCCATATTTTGAACATCAATGACCCAAATGTACTAAACAAATTTTCTTATGCAACACATTGATGATTATATATATATGGATTGCGTAGTATAATGAGAAGAGAAGAAAACGTGACTGATCTTTGTGACTCACACGCAATTATTTCTTTGTTTAATTAAAATCAAAGGAAATATACTAAGCTTCAAAGAAGCCTTAAACAAAGAACATGGCTCTAGCAGGAAGGTCACTTGGTTAAAGTTAGTTTTGTATTTATAAGCTGAAATTCTTAATAATTAGCAGAGAAAAACTATGTAAATAATTTGGAAAAATTAAAAAAACGATAAACAGTACGATAAGTACTCATATGCAGAAAAAGAGGGGAAATGGGTTAAATAGATAGGTGAAATAGGACGACAGGTAAGCACAAGCGAACACGCTCGAGCAACAATGAAACCTAAAAAATTGCCCCAGCACTTCAACAATCAAGCGATTTGTTGGTGAAAGAAGTTAATGCACTCGTCTACGATGTTTAAAATTGCGAGTTTGACAGTCATTGGGGCTAATACAAACGATCTCCTCAGAATTTACCATTCGAGAGGGCTTGGAAAGCTACTCTTTCACCCGAGACAAGGGTTCGAGTTATTTCTACTAATATTTGAACAATGGAGAATGGATGAATGAGAAAAAGAGAGAACGAACTAGAAAAGTTTGAACTTTGATAAATAAAAAAGGAAGACTATTAAACCATGTGGAAGTGGCACCAACTTACTCGAAAATGAGAAGAGACAATATTTTTCAAGAAAGTGCCCAATTCACCGACCAGCTGTTGTGTAAGGCTTAAAGTTAACTAAACTGGAAACCTAATAACGGCGAGAAAGCAAAAATTTGGGATGAATTATATAAAGAATTCTTGGTAAATATTTTGGCTGAGGAGCAAGACATGTGACCATATAAGAGCGACCAGTCAAATGATTATTGATTCTGCATTCAAAAAGCCAAATAATACACATTTATAAAAACATAAATTATATAGTTCGATTGCACTAAATCAAGCAATGAGAATTAAATTGCCTATAATATATCGAAGTAAGAAAGAAGTATGAAAAAAGACCTACAGAAAAAAATTTGTTTTAAAGCAAAAATCATGCATGAATACGGATATGTTAAGTCGACTAACGCAGTAAAAACTATATTGAAACCAGAAAGTAGGACGAATTGATAAAATTAGTTGCATGTATATAACTAGCGCAACAGTAGAAAATATACGCCTTAATTTTTGCTATAAAATAATCAGAAATTATGTCCATGAACTTATGAGACAATATACTAATTAATAATTGTGTGTTGAAATTAGATAAAATTGATATTTGGCTGAAATGTGTGAGAAAAATAATTCAACCTGGTCAAATATAAATCGGAAATCATAGCATGCAGAAAAAACACTTTTTTGAAAAATCGAAGATAATGTAAATAACAAGTCAATAAGAACGCGGCACTCACCAAGAAGAGATATGTAATGCCTTGGTTGTTCACTCTTGGCCGACATCCTGGCTATCTATGAAGTCGAGTGCGCAGATCAAGGTTAATTTAATCATTAACCTGTAAAGTCACTAGCCATTAGTTTCAAGGCTGTGGAATAAAAGATCTACAATTGTTTTTTATTATATTACAACTAACTAAATTAGTTGCTAAAAGATTAACTTTGAAATTTTTTAGTCATTTATTACAAATCAAACAAAATGTCTTTATCTTAAAACAAAAATGTAATCTAAATAATTAACAATTTTTATAAAATGAAAAATTTGCATAATGTGTTGAGAATGTAGTAAACATTTTACTTGTTCTACGATGAACAAAGGAAGGCACAAATTTTCCGAATTATAAAATTTTCAATGTTGATCCTCAATCGGTATATTTTAATTTTCCATATCCCAAGTTCGTACATTTATTAACCATATAAACCACTAGCAATTCTTTATCGCCAAAATCAGAGTAGATAATTATGATTGTAAAGTTAAAGTTCATTAATTATCCACATGTATAGATTTACTTAACCCTGACACTTTAAATCATGGAAATTGCTTTTCATTTATTCTTATCTGCGAAGAATGGTTAACAAATAGTAAATAAGAGCTAAAAGAACTATTCCATTTCATTTACATGGCGAATGCAGCCAACTTGAGGATGGAAACATGAAAATTTAAATCCCCTAATGATTAATATAGTAATTAATAAATCAGCATTTTTCAGAAGACTAAACATATGCATCAAATCGGCATAAATCCTTCGTAGTCACTCTGTTAATGGTATTTAAAAAAAGGAACAAATTTTACAGAATACAATCTAGCGCCATAATGTTTCACTACGCTTCACAAACTGAAAGCTAGCAAAGAAAGTTATACTTTTGTTAAATAAGAATTGTTTGGACTTTTTGGGTCTTTTGACATTTACAAAACAATCAAAGTTATCAAATTTATAAAGTGAATTTCTCGTGTTTGTAAAGGAGTAATTAGACTTTTAACTTGACAACTTTATTGTTTAACTTTTTTAAAGGACGAAATTCTGCAGAGTTCAGTGAACATTGTCATGAACTTGTTTGAACCATTGCATTTGTTAAAAGCCAAGTTAATGAACTTTCGTTTAAACTCAGAACAAATAACACGGGTTAATTTATTTACTTCTTTGAGGTGGTAGTATAAAATGTTGTACTAAAGATGTAGGGAAATCCGATTCTATTTTACATACATGTTTACTTAAAAGCCAAGTTGATGCCGTTACTTTTAACATCGAAATTTCAACGGTTAATTGGAATTCTAAAGTATGAATTCAAAATCAAAATTGAACGGAAAACGAAAAACCATATATGCACCAAATGATTATATCATTATACATATTGAATGTTTTGTATTCTTTTTATTCTAGTCTTTTTTAAGCTATGTATAATATTTGATCAATAGGATGTGTTTGTGAATTCCCAGCACATTGATTAGCAGCTCTACATTTGGAAGTGGGCGAAAAGTATGCCAGTGAAGAATGGGTATATAAGCAATGATATGAGTATATGGGCAACTGTGTGGTTTTATTTTCAATCTTATAGTAATCATTTAAGACGAAGTTGAGGTCTGGATAATTTTTAACAGTAAAATATTTTGATATGTAATCTTCTTTTGCTACTTAATCACAATTCAGTATATTATTATGACACCGAAGACCTTGTTACCTTTACAAGCTCGAGCTCAAATCAGATCGGACAGTATAAGTAATCCAGTCGAAGAAACATTCCAGTGCTTAGGTCAGCTCAAAGATTTCTATGTGATCAAGTTAAGTTTGTACAAAATTGTAGAAATTTGATAAGCATCATAAAATTAACCTTAAAAATTGTAATTTTACTAGGTAAAGTAAAAGAAAAAGTTAATTGTGTATGAATTTTCGTAAAATCAAAAATTATTGAGTAGCACATATGCATAATGCAATAAAAATTAATATTTTAACTTATTTACTCAATCACATTAAATTTTGGAATTGTAAGTCAGTTGAGCCTTTCACAGTGTTTTACCTAGTAAAGGTGGTTAATTGATTCAAATATATCTCCTATTATCATACGGTGATATTGCAATAGTGCTCTGTACTCTTATATACTTCTTAGAGCACCTATCAGTTTCTTTATCTAAATTTGAGAATGGGTTGTTTAATTTCCTGTGTTGCTTGCTGTTTCTGTGATGCTGCCGCAAGTCTGTGTTGTAAATGCTTGCCATCCTGCAGAAACTCAACGTCAACGAGGTTGCTATATGGATTAATCCTGTTTACTGTGTTAATAGTCTCGTGCATTTGTCTTAATCCAAGTATAGCAACATTTTTGAAAAAGATACCTTACTTGTGCTCAACGGAACAGAGTAACATATGTAATTTAATAACCGGATATGGAGCAGTTTATCGATTGTGCTTTTCATTGTCTCTCTTCTTCTGCTTCTTTTCTATTTTCATGATACAAGTTAAATCATCAGCTGACTTTCGGGCGGCCATTCACAATGGCTTCTGGTTCTTCAAAATTATTGCAATTATCGGTATCATGGTTGGAGCATTCTTCATTCATAGTTACGAGTTTCTCTATGTGTGGAGGATATTTGGAATGATTGGATCCCTGTGTTTTATCATCGTTCAACTAACCCTCATAGTTGATCTAGCCTATTCATGGAATCAGGCTTGGATAGAAGGATTTGAAGAATCCGGCAATAGGGCAATTATCTGTGGTTTTATCTTCTCCACCATTCTCTTTTATGCTTTGGCGTTTATCGGAATAGTCCTTTTCTATGTTTACTTTGCCTCTGCTCCGGCATGTCGTTTGGGTAAAATGCTTGTGAGTATTAATCTGATTTTCTGCGTGATCTTCAGTATCATTTCAATTCTTCCAAAAATACAAGAGCATCTTCCCAACTCTGGTCTTCTACAGGTAATATTGACTATGTATTTTAGTTCAAGTCGCACTTTTTGCGTGAGTAAAGTTGATTATGCTCTGTTGTCGCGTGATTATGCCACTTGACTTGTTATATTTATGCTTAAGTTGTCATCAAAGTAGTGGCTGTTTTACGGGTTATTACTGAATTTACCGAATTTTTCATCTCAATTTTGTAAATATTAGCCATATGCGTAAACATTTCTCGATTAAAATAGTTATGAATTTTACACAAATTAGGTTTTTAGTGTCAATGCTATTCAGTAAAATGTGTCTCATTTTTAATGCTTCAATTGAGGTTTAGTCGAATTGTGTGGACACAATTAACCGTAAGCTAATGAAGCTCAATTACCTCCAAGGCTTTCCATTCCAGTTAGATGGAATGCGAGCAGCAATTTACTTGGCGTGGAGACAGATAATCTAAAGTCACTCCTCTGAGAAGCTCACATTTTGCCACCTCTCATTTTGGCCAAAATTATTCAGTACTGCCGACCATTGATGTTTTTACTGAATGAATACTGATGATCATCTGTCTTCTCTCCATAGGCGTAGTTTTAATGTGGCAATATGATTCGATCGAATTCATTGTGCAAATTAAAGGCGATAAGATGTTTAAATTCTTAAAATTGACCTGTTGTGGAGTACACAGCCCTAACACGGTTTAACTGAGCAGTCTCTCTTGCCCACTGCGGCCGTGGCGCTGTTCGTGTTAAGGACTAAATGAGGTTAGGAGTGCCGAGACCTAGGAACCAATCAATAGTCACTTGCACAGCCATCGCACTAGAAATCGCATTTAATGCCCAAAGTGTCTGTGTCAATGTCCTCATACGTCAGACTTATCACATGTTTGACACGACCTCAGTAAACGCATTCCACGTTACATGCTCTGTTGCCCCGATATTGGTGAGGTGGCTTATTCTATTTTGGGAGGCATTCCATAATTGATAATTTTACCATTGAGATTGCTGGGGTTTTAATCAAGGCTTTTATTGGTGTGGCAATGCCCTGCAATACTTGTTGAAGAAACAGGTTATTAGTCCTTGGGTTGATAATTATTTCACTAATTTCGTACCTGCAATTTTAAATACATTCGATCATGATTAAAGGTTTACGCCTAAAAATGTACCAAAAGCGGTTTAAATCGGAAAAATTAGATCAAATTGAGCTTGGTACAAATCAGTGTCTGACTATTTGAACGCCGGTTGTCTAATTAGGTTCCACTTGCCCTATTCCTTGCTGTCTAACACAATACACTAAGGTAGGATGTAGATAAGACCTATCCTTTTGGTGGTCTATGTACATATTTTCATGTATATTCTCTCTTTCAGTCTTCAATAATCAGTGCCTACGTTGTATTCCTGACTTGGTCAGCCTTGGTGGACATTCCGATAGCAGAATGCAATCCAACTTTGAATTTGATTAATGTAACCATCATTGATTCCAGCAAAAATAAAGTCACAGTGGAGACTTCAAATTTGTCCTTCAACTGGCAAACCGGCATCTCCATCACAGTTACTCTTCTTTCGATTGCTTTCGCTTGTATCCGCAACTCCTCGAGTAATTCTCTCAGTCGATTAACTATGGATGTAGGTTAAGCATTTTATAACTTCTTGAAGAATTTTAGTTTTCAACTTAAGCTATGACTGCCATCATCAGAAGGACTCCTTTATGAGTCCTATTAAAGTATATGCAAAGGCAACTCCTTTAAACACTAATAAGCTTTAAACTTTAGGAAATAACTTTTTTTCGAACCAGATGTCCCAGTGTTGAGGATAAAGGGGAAGTGGGGGACAGGGGGCGGTTAAATTCAGTAGAGTCCGTGTAGAAAAATCGTTATAAAGAAGCACAGTTATGGCCAATAAGATGACATTGTTCTGCGTTTGGCGAATGAACAACCAATGAAAATTCAGTTTGATAATTAGGACAGTGCAAATGTGAGTTGGCAAGTGTGTTCGATGGATTACTATAGACTCATTTGAATTTTGTGTGCCAATTTGCGCATTTGCATGTATCTTATAATTGTTTTAAAGAATTTGTTATGAACCCTCGGAAACATATCATTAGAGCCTTTTTTATTTAAACAATTCCCATTTCAGTCTCACTTCAGAAGTGAACACCATTTTGTACTCTCTTCTCCTATTAGCCCATTTAAATCGAAGGCTGTATCTAGGTACGCTACATAACTTTCACTCAAGTATTTATCGAGTGAGCTGAATGGCCAAAGGGGAATATTTTTGTCTTAAAATCCAGAGTTTTACTACCCTTTTTTCTTGCTACTAACATATTCTCCTTAAAAACGTATTGCCTACAGGTTTTTAGAGCGTTCTGTTGGGGCTTAGGTTTCAATTGTTGATTTTCATTGCGAATCTTTGCAGTAATTTGTGCGTTTTTAATCCCACCTACTTTGACCTCGTGGGATCGGATTCGTCAAGTGTAATGGATCAGGTGATGATATCACTCCCATCTTTACAAGTACAGAGTTTTTTTGTTGTCAAAATTTTTCTGGTGTCCAAGATTCAAGGCTTCTAGCTTATAAGAATTAGCTTATCAGAGCTCATTGAAGTTCCTTTTCTACTTAGACTCTTAGTGTCAAAATGGTTCAGCTTGCTTATAGCTCTAGCTATTATTTAAGGTAGAATGTAATCTGTTAATGCAATTTAATGAATTTAACTTATTTAGGTTAATCTAATTAGTTAAGTGGTGATTGGTAGCATTGCGTAGTAGCAGCATAATTACATCTTTACTTCTTTATTTACTCTGTCTTTTTCCACTTATTTTATTCCTCATCCATGGCCATTAAAATCTACACAGATTTTTTCGTTTTTTCTCCGATTATGTTTCGCCTTTTTCTTCTGAAAGGTGTTTAAACTCCATTTTTAAAACTTTTTCTGTGGGCTGTTTAACTTTCTGGTTTCCAGATCCCATTTTCCAGCAATTATCCAATTTATTTTTGTTTATATTGCTAGGAATCGTTCACTTGTAAGTGGAAACGAAGCTTGGCTAGAATAAATTGGTTTCATACTTTTAAAAGACAAATTCACGTTGAATTTAATTTCTGTTGCCCTGACGACACATTTCTTGCGCATTTTAAAACTGTCACACTCTCTGTCTATCTCCCATTTATTCATTTTTGTTATCACTGCCCCCACGTTAAACGATGAACTAGACTTTTAGTGGGCCAGTGAATGTGTCTCCCACCTCCAAACTACTGAAATGTTGAGTAGATGCTATGGTGCGTTGCTTGGACACTGCACTCCCTTAGGTAACATTCAGGAGAAATTGACTCGTGTGTCAATATAACCTCCAAATTTTATCAATAGAATAGCTATCAGAACTCTTTTCCAGGCTGCCACTGTTATTAATTCTTCCTCAATCACTAATACTTCCTAAGTGCATTTAGGAGAACGTTTTTCAACGCGCATCTTAATTTGATAGTAGCATCGTATTATTTATATCAAATGGCAGACTTTATGATAGTTATCAGTAGCCCTTTAATTGACTTCAGGCTTCACCGAGGGTAGGAGCATCAAATCGAAAAATGTCTTGAGGGGGGGGGGGGGAGGGGAACAGAAGAGTGTTTTAAAGATGTAAAAGAGACAGACACAACGGTAGGTGAAAGGTGAGGTGAGTACTGTGAAAGTGGACGAATATGACAAACAGTGGGGTGGTGGTAGTTTGAACTCAGAAGTCAACTACCGGTTTATGGACTTTTTTTGCCGTATGAGTATACGCTGCCCAGGGTGCACCACGTGGAGGTAAGTCTATCACACACCACATAGTAGCATCGTAGATCCATTCGCATGGGACTGGAGTTCTTCCGATGCAATTGGCCATTCCGCTCACAAGGTGTACGTCGATGAAAATCTAGGCCAAGTTCTCTAGTATGGCAGAGGAGCGCGAGTTGTGTTACTATCGTTACTGTCAATTGAGGCTATTTTAACTTGGATGACAAATCTATTTTTAATCCTGGAGCATCCAACGCATTATCTCCCGTGCAATCTTTTGACCTACAGCAAGGCAGACGTTGTTATGCTTTTTCATCATGCCCAATCAACTGAACCTGGTTATAGTTTGGAAGTGGACATCGAATAGGCATTAGAAGTCTAAGCTTAGTTTTTGGTATCATGTTTTACGTGACAACAAGCTACTTAATTTTTGGCATAGTCGGGTTCAGTTTGCTACCCTTTTTGATTTACCTGAGCTCTGGGTATTTTTTACCTTGTAATCCTGTGCGAAAAAATGCATCAGCGCTCCTATGACAAAACTCATGTGCTAAGGCCTGTTAAAAATGCATTGATAAAGTGGTTTTGCGTTGACCTTGTAGACTTGACCTCTGTGTGGGTGTGTGTGTGTGGATGTGCGTGCGTGCGTGACTGGGTCTTTTTTCCCCTTTAGTTTTTTTTGACTTGGGAAAAGCTAATGAATCGAAGGATAAATGTGCCTAAGTTTCAGTCCAATGTTTCGATATTAGTGAAACATGCACTCACGGCGAGGTGAGTACATGGAATTTGTCCTGCATCAGTTTTTTTAAGTAAATAAGTTAATTGCTCTGGTTAAAATAGTCCTCTGTATCGACTAACCACATAAAATCATGAAGAATACTGAGGTATCATTTGCATTAAATTATGATTGATTCCGATTTACCTCAACCTGATTCCTCTTGCCTGTTTTGTTTAAGGTGATGTAAACATTTTGTCAATGTTCCAAGCCTTTGTAAATCGGGCCTTTTTATTTTTCGTCGATACTCTTTCGTTATTGACATGTATGCGAGAAGCGTCTTTCCACTTTCCTTAATGCAGTCGAATTGTCAAGGATTATTACCATTACTCCTAGCACTCGCACGGGTCTTTTCAGGAAAAATAAACGTGCTACACGACTCTAAACGTTCACTGTGTATTTATTAGGACTCACCAGATTACTGATTCTTGGATCTCCACATTTCTGTGTCATTGATACATTATTAGCAATCGTTCATTTCTATCCCGAACTTTTTATTAACGTTTATGTTGTTTCTTTTTTAAAAAAACGCCACTCTTGGATTAGCGAACCTCTTCCTTCCCCCCCTTTAGTAGGAGGGGTATGAAAATCTAGGCATAGCATTTTCTAGTAACATTACCTGAGTATTCTTGTTTTTATCTGTGCTATTATATTTATTTATTTATTTAAAATGGCAGGCGTTTTGATAGTTATCATTAGCCCTTTAGTTGACTTCAGACTTCACGTAGGGGAAGGAACATCAAAGTGAGTAAAATTCGAAAGGGGGAGGGATCAGAAGAGTGATTGACAGATGTAAAAGAGGCAGACAGGCACAAAGGCAGGAAAAGGTAGGGTGAGTACTGTGAAAGTGGTCGAATGTGTGACATACAGTTTGGTCATGGTATTTTGAAGTCAGAAGTCAACTGCCGATTGATAGACTTTTTTGCCGTATGTGTATACGCTGTCCACACCACGTGGAGGTAAGTCTATTTCATACCCCACTATTATTAATAGTATGTTAATCT